CGTAAGCCTCGTCGAAGATGAAGTCGTAGTGTTTGTGCGTTTGTTGTTAGAGCAGCTTGTGCATTGCCTCGGTATTGTCTTTGGGTGTTGTGCAATCTTTGAGGTAGTGAGGATACGTGCGTCTTTCCTCCATTTGCAGTGCCAGTGGTTCAAGCTCTTGCCAGGGTGTGCTGGTGATACGCTCGTGGCGAAGCAAGTCGTTGGGCATCGTTTCGTCATCCGTGAAAGGTGCTCCGTCCTTGCGACTCTGAAGGTGCCGATGGTGTGGTATGCAAAGGGTTCTGTCGTGCCAGTGTCTGTGGAGTTCTGTGTGTTGTGTAGTTTTTTTTCCCCTTGTACGATCTTTTCAATTGCCCCCTCGGGCTTCTGGCAGTAGCTTGGCCCGATGCTCGGCAGGTCTGCAGTGGTGATGTGCACGTCTGTGATCGTGGGTGCCCAGGCGCCCCGTGTGGGGGAAGTGGTATGCACACGGTACCAAGCCAACCTGCTATGCGGGTTTCTCGTCGGTGCAGGCCGGCTTGGTCGAGTTTAGCTCGCAGTGCAAGTGCCGACCGGGGTCGACAATTTTTGTGGAGTTGCCGTCTGCAGGTTGGTTTTGCTGGTGTGGTGTCTGGTGTGGTGTCTGGTGTGTGTGTAGGGAACGGTAAGAATAAGGATGAGGATGATGTTGCTGTTCCATTCGATTGGCTTGCCATGAGGGTATAGCGGTACGACGTTGTTTGCCTATGTTGGACAGTCTGTTGCAGAGTCGAGTGGTGCAATTCGACTCTGTATACTAGCCTCTGTCAGGCGAATCCGTGGAGCTTGTCGCTTGGTGTGGTGGTCGGTGTGGTAGCCGGTTTGTTTCATGTAGTCAGTTTTTCGTCTATAGTTGGATCGGTCCGTTGTTTTGCTGGGCTTGGTGGGAACTGAGCGTACGCTAGTCGTTATGTTGGCTGGTTTGCAGGCCGCTTGCTGTGGGTGTTGGTGTGCTGGTTGTTGGTCAGTGTTATGCTGCTAGGTGTATTGGTAGTGCTGGTCAGCTGGTCGATGTGCTGGTTAGACGTGATAGTGGGTGTAGTCGTTGCTGGTGGGTGGCGTGTTCGCGGCGTAGTCGTAGACGTTGTCGTGAATGTTGTAGTAGACATAGTCGTGGGCGTAGACGTGATCGTAGCCATGGCCAGTTCGTATGCATTGTGTGGACGAAGGCTTGTACGTTCTCGTGGTGCAGCCGCAAAGGGGCAGGCGTGGTCAAGGCAGTCTGCAGGTCTGCATGCTTGTCGTGGTCTGGTCTGTACTCTGATTGTTGGCTCGTGCTTGCTGGACCCTGTCACGCCCCTCAGGGGGGTAGAAACCAACTGGGCGAAGTCTCATTGTTGGGGCGTCATGCTGTCACCCTCCAGGCTTGCCGCCTCACGTCGCCTCGTCCTACCCATCCTGTATGCTGATTGCGTCGTCGTATTGTTTCCTTCCGCGTTTCATGTGTTTCATCAGCCCACGCTTACCCTCTTCGCCCAGCTCGTGGATTGTCTTTCCCCTCGACTCCGCGGTCTACTCCGGGTTCTAATCTCTAGTCCTGCCATGTCTCCCTCCTTTTCTCCCCACATCGTCCTGTGCCAGGGGCCATCGGCCTCCCGTAAATTTCGGGGGCCGCCTGGGACCTCCTGAGGCCTCTCGGGGCCTCCTTTGGCCTCCTGGGGCCTCCTGGGGCCTCCTGCGACCTCCTGGGACTTCCTGCAGCCTCTTGGGATCTCTGCCAGAAGTTCCCCCCCCCCCCCCCCCCTGGGGGCGCTCCTTCGTCCCGGGCCCACTCTTGCTGGGCCCCCCCCCCCCCCCGGGGCGAGAGCGGGGCCCCGGAGGCCGAAGTCCTTGCAACACCGGCGGCTTGACAACGTCAGATCCTCGGATCTCTGGGTGCGTGCGCCGCCAGCTCGGGGTGGGCCCCTTGCGCTGCCCCCGGCGGGCGGCCGGGCTGCTGCTGCTGCTGCAGGCCCCGCGCGCAGGCGGCAGCGAGGCCGGCGGGCGAGCGGCGGTGCGCCGCCGGCTGCCGGAGCGCCCCAGCCCGCCGGACTGATTGGGAATTCGCCCTCGCCTTCTCTGGAGGCCGCGCTGCCTTTCTCCGGCCGCCCCCTCCCCCCCCCATCCTCCCTCTCTCTGTGCCCTCCTGTGTGCCACTGGGCTTCGCTGGACGGCAGAAAAAGTGCGCGCCGCCAGCTCGTGCCACCCCGCCCCAGCGAGGCCCAGCCGCCCGCTGGGCGGCCGGCAGCGGCTGTGCGGGCGCCCTGGCCGCCGGCGGCCGGCGGGCCGCGGGCGCGGGCGCTGTGACGCGCTGGCCGTGCCCGCGGGCGCCGCCTGAGACTGGTGCGGCTCAGGGGAGCTGGAGCGTGTTTCTTCCTATTTCAGCGAGCGAAGAATCAGAGCCCCGAATCATCAGGGGTAACTCGGGTCAGGGATAACTCGGGTTCGTGTTTCGGGAATCCAAGCCCGAGTTACCCCGGACCCGAGTTACCCCGGATAGCTCGGGCGGCCAGAGCCCCGAATCATCAGGGGTAACTCGGGCCGGGGCTAACTCGGGTTCCTTTTTCGGGAATCCAAACCCGACTTACCCCGGACCCGAGTTACCCCGGATAACTCGGGCGCCCAAAAGAACGGTATAACATAAACTTTTTCGCTGTCGGGGGCGCCTGTCCCTGGGCGGCTGGAAGGTTCATACCCCTACGGTGCCACCGTAAGGATATAAACTTTCTAGCCGCCCAGGGACAGACGCCCCCGACAGCGAAAAAGTTTATTTTATACCGTTCTTCGCCCGTTAACTATTGGTTGGGGCATATATGGGCACTGTAGCCCCTTCCCCCCGCCCCTATAACGTAACGTCCCTCCGCCCCCCGTGCGCTCTGGGCACTGCCGCCGTGCGCATCGGGCACACGGCGAGGGGAAGGCGTTACATTATCCCCCCTCCTGGCCCCCCCCCCCCTTGTAATGGCCATTATCGCCGAAAATGAAGAAACGCGCTCCTGGTATCCGAAATACAAAATCTCAGAGGAGGAGGAGGAGGAGGTAACCCATACCTATGCCCTTTCCTCCTTTTCCCTTTTTTGGGCCTCCTCGGAGGCCCTCGTCGCCACCGCCGGATTCGCGGACTCGCTTCGAAATTCTGGTCAGAGCGTACCCCGGGAGAGGTCTGGGGAGTAGCGTCATCGGTACCTTTGGTATTCCTCAAAATCGAGCAGTGGCGAAGCGTGCTGGCTCGCCTATAGGCCCGCTAAAGAATGTTCTAAGGACCTTTTGCTGTTTCTACGACATGTTGATCGATCATTTCTGGCTGGGACTGTTTTGTTTTGACGCATCGGGTTGATGTTATCAGAGCACTTTTCCGAACTTGTTAGAGTTCTAAGAACATTCGTGGTGGGCCTATTTGAATGCCGGGAGGGTCGGTCCCTGCTCAACTCAGGGTAGATGATGTCCGAAGCACAAACTCGGTTGTTCAAAGATGGGGTCCTTAGGGATGGGGTCCTAAGGGCGAGGTGCCTCGAACAGTTCGAATGCACCCTTGGATCCCTTCCTATCCTTAGGGCCCCATCCCTCCGGACCTCATTTTTGAACCACCGACGCAAAACGGCATAAGCATAGACTGTCAGAGCTCCGCCTGGATTTCTTGGGCCAGCGCTGTGCTCCGCTGGCGGCGCCTCTGGCGCCGCCCCTGGCGCACTCCGCCCGCCTGGGAGGGGGGCCCAGCGCCGTCCAAGACATCCGCACAGACCGTCAAAAGTTTATACTTCTGCCGTTTTTTGCTCCTCTGTGTGTGGTCCTTCACGGGAGCTTCAGAGGGTTCTCTCCCAGCTATCCAGCATTGTCCGACCTGCTACTGCGCCTGGAGAGATTTGCGCCCTCACTTCATTGAGCGCCCTTCCCCAGCAAGGATGCTGGATGCGCCCGCTACTGCGGCTCAGGGGAGATTGTGTGGTCTTTAATGGGAGCTCCAGAGGATCCCAGACTTCCTTGCGTTTTTTTTTGGATTTCGTTCGGATATCGTCGGAGTTGTTCGACGTCAGGACGAAGTCTGGACGAACTCTAGACGAAGAGGTGAAAAGGGGCGGTCGAAGTTTGGACGATTTCCCGTTGGAATCACGTTTAGGATAGGGCCGCGGAGGTCAACGGAGGGCCCCACGAAGGCTCACGCAGGGGAAACAGAGCTTCGTGGACGCACGGGTGCGCGCGCACGCTCTTTGGCGTCGCGGGCTGTGCGCACATCGACGCGTCGGAGTCGGCGTGACGAGAGCGGATCCCGGACAGAACGCCCGCCCCGCGCTCACAGGCCAGGCAGGGGAGGAACGATGATGGGGAGGAAGATAAGACTGCTTCTGATTTTTTCGGGAATCCAAGAAAGAGATGAGGAAGACGATGATGATGATGATGATGATGATGATGATGATGATGATGATGATGATGATGACGATGGTGGTGGTGGTGGTGATGATGATTATGATGATGATGATGATGATGGTGGTGGTGGTGGTGATGATGATGATGGTGGTGGTGATGATGATGATGCTGATGATGATGCTGATGATGCTGATGATGATGATGATGATGCTGATGCTGATGCTGATGATGATGATGATGTTGATGTTGATGATGATGATGATGATGATGATGATGATGATGATGATGATGAGGAGGAGGAGGAGGAGGAGGAGGATTAGTGTAATCCTAAGACTCATCAGCGATGTTGGAATAAACCCTTCCTCCAAGCTGACTCTTCATAAGCGCCTACAAAGGTTTATTTCCACTCAGGGAAGGGCGCCGTTAAGAGACAACCGTTGGAAGATCCAGAAGCGTGCCAAAACATCATTATTGGAATTTCGCCGTCCGTAGTCATTTTGGCTCAAGCGATGGCAGGGCTCAAGCTGGTTGGGCTGAAACCATATTGGGCTTGGGCCGCTGTGATGCCACATCTGCTTTCGTAGAAGCGGCAATCAAGGTGTATAGCCAGATCAAGTCAGCGCAGTGCAGCACTGCAGATGCTCCGCGCAAGAATCCCATCGAGTGTGGAACTCTCCCCACGCCAATACCCTGCGGCCGCCCGAGCATGCAGACTAGGCGGGCAATGGCAACGGGCGCTGTCTCTGATCAGCGAGATGTGGGAGTCGCTGACTGAGCCCGATGTCGTCAGCTACAGTCGTGGGATCAGCGCGCGCGGGAAGGGCAAGCAGTGGCAGCGGGCTTTGGTGTTGCTCTTCGAGCTCCTGGAGGCGAAGCTGGAGACGTTGTTAGTTGCAGCGCTGCGACCAGCGCGTGCGAGAACGGCGAGCAGTAGCAGCAGGCTATTGCGCTGCTCAGCCAAATGTGGGAGGCGAAGCTCGAGCCCGACGTCATCTCTACTGCATTGCAGGGCCCCGCGCGTGCGAGAAGGGCGGGGGTCGGACACAATCCCCCAGCGCCCCCTGCGGGCCCTGCGGGCCCCCGCGAGCCCCAGTTGGCCTCGGCGCGCTTCCAGGAAGGCCCAAGAGCGCTCCGAGACCCTATCGGAACTCCCCGAGAGGACCCCAAGACGCCCCAAGACGGTCCAAGAGGGCTTCCAAGATGGTTCAAGAGCGCTCGAAGACGCTCAAGATAGCCTCCAGACCGCCCAAGAGGCCTCCAAAACGCTCCAAGTGGGCTCCCAGAAGACGCCCAAGAGAGCTCGCACAAGCAACAACCGTGCCAAAACCTAGGGAAAACGTACATCTTCGCAACTCCCGTACTTTTCGTTTCAAAGCGTCCACGACGACAGTACGGGCCCCCAAGATCGGCCCAAGACGTTTCAGGAGGCCCCCATGAGGTTCCCAAGACGGCCCCGACGGCCCCAGGACGGCCCAAGATGGCCCCAGGACCGCTCCTGAGGCGTCCACGACGGCCCAAGAGTCACTCAAGGCAGCCCCGAGAGCGGCCCAAGACGGCTCCAAGACGACCCCAAGCCGGCCCCAGAGGCGTCCAAGACGGCCGCACACGGCCTCAAGACGGCCCAAGGGGCACACAAGACGGCCCAAGAGGGCCCCAAGAGGCCCCCAGGAGGCCGCAAGATGGCCCAAGGGGTCCCAAACGGCCCCCAGGAGGCCGAAAAAAAAACCCGAGAGGCCCCGAAACGGTTCCTAAGGAGAAGGAAGCGCCCGCCATCAGTGGCCGCATAGGGAGCGTTGCCCTCCTCCGTGGGTGCGGGCGCGGGCGAAAGAGCGCCGAATAGTGCACATCAACATGGGCGCTACTTCCCTTTTCTATTGCCTCCCAGCTCCAGGGCGCCCTTCGCCGCTGCCGCCCAAGTGGGGCGAGATACACCAGAGGCCTCCAGGGAACGCAGTCCCCAACACAATCTGATCCCAGAGGGGCGCGGAGACGGCGCCCAAAAGGACGTGCGTCCCTGCGCGCCCACAGTGAGCCCCCATGCAAAGTCCACCGTGCGACATTTCGAGTGCCCTGGGGTAGCATCGATCTCTCCCGTGGGCACGAAGCAGACAACAGCGGCGGTGTTACACAGCAGCAGCAAGCAGCGGCAGACTGCGGGTAGAAGCACGCACCAAGTGGAACTGGCCATCAGCAACAACCTGCAGCCACAATCAGCAAGAACACGCAGCATCGGCCTCAAACACTACCAAGAGTACACAAAGGCGGCAGCAAGCTTCAGCACGCAGTAACATGTGCGGAATGTGAGGTCGGGCCCCACAATCAGTTGCCAGTTTGTGCAAATTTCGTGGACGGAGTCCACGGGCCAGTCCTACCGACGTCGCCAGCCTCCTTCCGGTGCCCACACCCCACGACGACGACCACCACCACCGCCACCACCACCACCACGACAACGACGCGACGGCGGCCTCGCGGCGGCGACGACAACGACGCCGACGATGACGGCGACGACGGCGGCCACGCGACGGCCAAACTGCTGGAGCGCTGCTAGAGCTCGGACACGAAGGCGCAGTCTCGCTGCCGCCGCCCCGGCCGCCGCCGTGCTTATAGGCTTTCGACCAAAATCTCCGCGGTTCCTCCGAGAACCATTCCAGACAGATGTCGTGGACGGAGTCCACGGGTCAGCCCTAGTCAGCTACAACGCTGGGATCAGCGCTTGCGGGAAGGGCGAGCAATGGCAGCGGGCTTTGGCGCTGCTCAGCGAGATGCGGGAGGCGATTCAGGAGCCTGACGTGATTAGCTAGAGCGCTGTGATCAGCGCATGCGAGAAAGGCGAGCCATGCCAGCGGGCCCTGCCGCTGCTCAATGAGATGCGGGAGGCGAGGATGGAGCCCAATGGCATTAGCCACAACGCCGGAAGCAGCGCGTGCGGGCACGGCGGGGGATGGCAGAAGGCGCTGCTCTTAGTGAGCGATGTGGGGGAGGCCAGGCTGCAGCCCGACGGCATCAGCTTCAACGCCGCGATGACCGCCTGCGGGCGGGATGGGGCCTGGACGCAGGCGCTGTCGCTGCTCGGCGAGCTGCGGAGGGCGGGCGTGGAGCCCGACATTATCGGCTGCAGCGCGGGGATCAGCGCGTGCGAAAAGGGTGAGCAATGCTGCTTGCCCAGCTGCGGAGGGCGGCGCTGGCGCCCTCCGTCGTCGCCTACTCCGCTGCACTTAGCGCCCGTGGGGAAAGCTGTCAACGGCAACACGCTTTGTCAGTGTTGGGCGAGCTCTGCGAGGCGAAGTTGGAGCCGAACGCACTCAGCTGCAATGCTGCAATCAGCGCGTGCGGGAAGGGCAGGCAGTGGGAGTTGGCGCTGGCCTTGCTTGAAGGGTTGCGGGACGTTAAAGCGGAGCCAGATACGATCAACTACAACGCCGCGATCAGCGCTTGCGAGAACAGTGCGCAGTGGCAGATCGCACTGTTACTGCTCGTCATCTCGGCGGAGGTACAACTGCAGCCTGACTGCACAAGCTACAGCTCTGGCATGAGCGCATGCGAAAAGAGCGGGCAATGGCAGCAGTCGTTACTGCTGCTCAGAGAGTCGGTCAAAATCCAGGTGGGGCTCAATCTCATCGGCTACGACGCTGGAGTCAGCGCTTGCGAGAAAGACATGCAGTGGACGCGAGCGTTGGGCTTGCTCAGAGAGCTGCGGAAGGTCAGGTTGGAACCAGTCGCCATCACGTACAATGCTGGAATCAGCGCGTGCGCGAAGGGCGGGCAGTGGCAGATGGCCTTGTTGTTGTTCCGTGAGATGTAGGAGGAGAAGGTTGAGCCAACCGTCATCAGATGGAATGCTTGCATCAGCGCATGCGAGAACGGCGCACAATGGAGAATGGCCAAGCATCTGCTCAGCGAGTTATTGGCGGCAGGGTTAGATGCCCAACACCACGCGTAAAGCGCTGCAATAAGCGCGTGCGAGAATGGCGCCGAATGGCAGCAGGCGTTGTCGTTGCCCAGGGATGCGGTGGATACGGTGGAGCCTAGTCTCATTGTGCACAACCCTGTAACCAGTGCGTGTGAGAGAGGCGGGCAGTGGGAGTGGGCATTGTCGTTGTTCAACAGGTTGCCAGAGACGCAGCTGGATCCAGATCGCATCAGCTACTGCGCTTTCATAGCGCGTGCGGGAAAAGTGGTCTGGCAACATGCACTGATGTTCTTTGAGAGCAATGGAAAAAACGACGCTTGGGGCCGACACCGTGAGTATGAACGGGGTCATCGGCGCATGCGACGCAGGGGGAAAGTGGCAGCAGGCGTTGTCATTGATCGGCGATTTGTGGGAAGCAAATCTGGAGATGGACACCGCAGTCTACAATATCGCGCTGCGGATGTGCGCGAATGGTGAGCAATGGCAACAGGCATCCCGATTGTTCTCCGCAATGAAAGCAGGAGTGGCGGAGCTGGATGCCATGAGCTACAGCACCAAAACCCAAGTAGATCTTGGTGCGGCTCTTGGGGCTGTACGTGTCAGCTCCGTCGACACGCCGTAGTTGGATGATTCAAGAATCGCGAAATTCCTGGCGAAAGGTGCTGGCGCATTTGGTTATTCAGTTGTTCCTCCGTGTGCATCTGGCAGGTGTACATAGCAACCAAGTGATGTGAATTCGCACTATTTGCGGTGAGTTCCTATGCTCGTCTGTCGAGATTCATCAGGGCACGGCGAGCAAGCATGCGTGTCAAACAATTTTTATTTGGAATTCCAACGCCACGACTCATCTTGACCGTTGCGTCTTGACGATCCCGAACTGTCCCAGAACATCGCTTTGGGGACTTCATCACCGCGAACCAACGTAATTGTTACGCTCTGACCCTCCGGAACCGTTGCAAAACACCCCTTATGGTACGTTAGCCATGGCAATCCGTGACACTGATGCAATTCCTTGGGACGAAAGTGCGCGGCGCTATGGAGAGAGCCACATTTTGCAACGGAGCCGCCCTCAATCGGTGAAGCTCTTCTGTTTTTTAATTGAGTGTGCGCGGCGCTAAAGGCGAGGGCCACATTTTGAAAACGAGCCGCCCTCAATGCGTGGAGCTTCCGCAATTTTTAAGCCGAGTGTGCGCGGCGCTAAAGCGAAAACCACATATTGAACGCCGCCCGCCCTCAATCAGTGCAACTCCATACACATTGTCAAAACGAATGTGCGCGGCGCCAAGGTGAGAGCCGCCACATTTTGGAAGCGGCCCGCCTTCCATGTGTGGAGCTGTTGTTGATTGTTAAACTTCAGGGGCATCAATGGAAGTCCCAGGCGAAACGCCCGTTCCGCCCTTCCGATTGGCCTCAGGGTGTGACATGAAAGAATTATTTGTAAGGATAATGAATGGAGGAGGAAGAGGAGGAGGAGGAGGAGGAGGAGGAAGAGAAGGAGGAGGAGGAGGAGGAGCAGGATGAGGAGGAGGAGGGGAAGGGGGAAGAGGACAAGCTAGGTGCGCTCGCGTCATATCTGACGTCCTACCCCTCCCTCCCATCCCTTACCATGGCGTAGCTCTACTCGCAGCGCATGGTATAGCATGGTGTTGAAGACCAGCGCGTAGCATGACATAGCATGGCGTGGCATTTTCTAGATGTTGGGTCTTCTTTGGAAGAACCGAAAACCATGCCGTGGCATGGCACTAGAAACAATGACGCCAGCGCGGCAGCGGGAGCACGATACGGAACGAGCGGAAGTGAGGAAATGAGGCCAGCGTTGCAGCGGGAACACGATTCGGAACGAGCGGAAACGCGGAAATGAGGCCAGCGCTACGCCGGGAGCACGATTCGGAACGAGCGGAAGCTTGAGAATGAGGCCAGCGCTTCCGCGGGAGCAGCACGTTGAACAAAGCCCAAGCGAAGACTCAATTCCCGGGAATCCTGTGTGTAAAAACAGTACGCGGAGGGGTGCCATACATCTCCCGGACGTCATCAGGGGAGAGAGGATAGTAGTACTCATATGGTGTACTTGTGGAGGAGGAGGAGTCATCAGGGGAGAGAGGATAGTAGTACTCATATGGTGTACTTGTGGAGGAGGAGGAGGAGGAGAAGCAGGAGGAAGAGGAGGAGGAGGAGAAGGATGAGGAGGTGGAGGAGGAGGAGGAGGACGAGGAGAGCCGTCTTTTCTCAGGCATATGCTTGAGGGGCGTTTTTTTTCTGCCTCCGACAAGTTTTGTTCCCCCCCCCCGCGCGCCATATTGGTCGCTGCTCGACATGAACGGATCTTGAGACAGTGTGCTTCCGGCCAGAAGGTCCACTTCTCCCTCAACCGCGCCCTGGATTCAGAAAAGGCTGAGCTCAAGTTTGTCGTCACCCCTGCCACTGAGTCCGCGGCGGGGGCCGTGCAGGCTGCTGCGAGAAGGGCGCTTGTGAAGGCCATTCTCGAGGAGCTCCCGACCTTTTCAGCCGTGGGCCGGCGGCATTTCCACAGCGACGGCACGTCTGTTGTTCAGGTGTGGCTAGCACCGATTTGCTCTGTTGCCCGAGGTCCGCCTGTCAGTCACATTCTTCCAGCCCCTTTTCAAGGCCGTTGCGCAGGAGGCGATCCTCGCGCAGGCGGCCCCCGGGACAAGGAGTGGGTGGAGGAGACCTTGGCGGAAGAACACCGGACGAAGGCCCACACCCTGCCTTTCCAGAGCTCCCGCATCGATGCCTTCTGCCGCATGCTTTGCTGCCGTGGCTCTGGAGCCTATGAAGGAGACCGCGGCCCTGGCTCAATCGTCCAGCGCTCTCCGACCTTATGTTCCTGTCTTTAGCTTTGTTCTGGACCAGAGTCTGGTGCTGAGAGCTCTCCCACTTGAGAGGATTGAAGCAACTCCGGAGGAATTGAAGCAAGAGCGTGTGGCAAAGGCTGACCAGCAGCAGTGCGAGGCCACCATGTCATTCCTGGAATCCTTCAGGCGCCCAGCCGATGAAGGACTGCAGATTTCCACACCACCATTAAGTGCTCTCCATGAAACGCTCGTCTGTTTTGTTCGTGGAGCTCAAGATCTTGGGTTTCTCCCAGTGCGTCACCATGCTGGCAGCTGGGACATCTCGGTCGCCTGGAAGGGCCCAGGCCAAATGATCTCGAAGGGCAGCGGGGAAACCGTTTTCAGCAGCGAGGCGACATGTTAGTGCACTGCAGGCGCCAGAATGACCGGCAACGTAGCCTCCTGTCGTTTCCTGTGATGTACAGCGTAAGCCCGAGGGGCGCTGGTTTTCTGCAGATGGGCGTGCCTGCTGCTGGTCGTGGCTCGAATCTTTAGGTGCCTGTCCCGGGGTCGGCCCTTGCGGGCCTGTTTTGTCAGGGGCGCCCTTTGCCCCAGCCCCCCTCCCACACCCCTTCGGGCCCTCCTCTTCTTCTTTTTTTTTTTTTTTTTTGTTTCAAACAAGCACTGTTATTTTTGGCGTGGTTCATATAAACCTAATTTTTCAGTTTTGGCATTTTGGGCTCTTGACGAGCTAAGAACGCTCAGGCAGCGCTGCGTTTTTCCCCCAGCCATCCTGTGGTGTTGCGTCCTCGTTCTGGAGACACAGCGCCCCGCGTCCCTTCGCCTCTCCTCCCTCCTCCGTCCTGGTTCCTCGGTTGTGCGGTTGTGTCGCCACGCGCAAGTTTTATCCGGCCGAGGTGGGAGTGGCCAGAGGGGCCACCCGCGCCAGGTACTTGGGGCTGAATATTCTCCCAACGGGGGCGATGGCGCATCCTTTGATTTTGAGCAAGCAGGCTGCCAACAGGGGCTGGCTGTTCTTTGCGTTCTGTGGCCTTCGGGGGCTCTGTTAAGGTCAAGAGATTCGTCTTCATGTTTGTTGTGCAAGGTGCGCTTCTGTCTGGCGTCAGTCCGTATCTCTTCGCAGAGGCTCATGAAACCCAGTTTGACACCGCACTGCTAGGCAAAATCCGATGTGTAGCTGCTGGGAAATGTGTGACTGGTCTGGGGCACACAAAAAAGGTTGGGAGTCTCGGGGGTCTGTCTGGAAGTGGATATGCATCGCCCTCTCCCGCAGTGAGCTTTTGATTCAGAGGCTTCGCTGGTGTCAATCGATCCTTCGATGGCCCAGCCAGCACGTTCAGGTCATCGCTCAGCTGTTCGGTCAAGTCGGCTTCGAATCGCACCGTGCCCTGGTTGGGCGGCCGCCTGACCGAGCAGGCTAACGCGTTCGCGATTCGTATCGTCACGGACGTTTGCAAGCTAGAGCTGCTCACAGACTACGAAGATTGAAAACACACTTGGGAGAAACATACAGGACTTGTCTCACGATGGTTACCTCAAACAGTTGTTTCTCTCGGCGGACGTTTCGGTACTTCGTAAGATTTGGCAGGGTTGTTGTACGGACTTGGGCAACATAGATTTTGGTAGCCCTATGGGCGAATGGAGGCGGGGGGAGCTCGACCTTCCTGAAGTCCTGGGCCCCATCGGGATGCCTGTATCGTTTCGCGTGTATTACGAAGGGCGGTGGCATTTGCGGGGCCAGGTTCCTTTCTCACGCCGGTCTCATCGCACGCGAGACGCACGCGATCGGGTGGACGCACGGGGATTTCTCCTTCTGCGACCGCTGTGTGTTTGCCAATCAGTGCCCAGCGCGTCGGTGCAGCTTCGCTTTCCAGGAAACCGCCAGAGCCCATCCATGTCGTGCTTTTCACAAAAAGGGTTTTGCGCTACGGAGACTGCTCGTGCCGTGCATCCTGCGGCCTCTCCCAAGCTCGTGGGTCCAGTCTGTAAGCTCGACTGCTTCGCCAATTTGGCTCAGCTCCAGAAGCACATCCGTGACCTGCATCTTCCTTTCATCCCCGCCCGTGGCGGCCAGGGCGACGTCCAGCGCCCCCAAGTGCCTCCCCCCAGGCGCGCCCGGCCGAGGCCGAGCCAGACGGCGCGCCGGCCGTCGGCCGGGCGAAGCCGCCCCGCAAGGGGCCGCCCGCAGGCGCGGCAGCAGGCTCGGCGCCAGACGCAGCTTCTGCACCAGGCCCGCGGGGGGACAAGACGCAGCGCAATCGGCGCCAGGGCAATGCGAAGGACATTGGCTTCAACCAGAAACAGGCCTGACCAACGTGCACATCAAGTAGGCCCTCGTGATGACGCAGGTGGTCATAGCCTTGTGGGCGGCGGAAGGGGGGGGGGGACGCGTATTTCATGGGCGCGGGCGCTCCCGGGATCGTCGCCGCACAGGCGAGCGGGGCGACAATACTCACAACGCAAGAAGTCCAAACCCACGGGAAAAGTCGCCAGTTGGGTCCTCCTCACCTGCATATCTGCAGTGGCTGTCCCGTCCAGTTGCTCGAGCGTGGGCTCGCGCCGGGACAGCGGGCGCACGGCGTGCTCAGAGACAGGCGCGCCCAAGGCCTGGTCGGAACTGCGGCAGGAGGACCTCTACGACATTCTGCGGCTCTTCAGGGTGATGAGCTGTCTCGACCGGAGCGGGCGCGAGGCGCGCATCATGGTGCGCCATGTGCCGCCGGGGGCGCGCCGCCCGAGTCCGACGAGCAGCCGTTGCCTCCGCCCACGCTCGCCCGCAGCTTGCTCCGCGCGGCCTTTGCGCGAGATC